GGTCGCTCCGAGCGCAAGTGTGTGAACGGGCCTTTAGTCAATCGCGAAAAAAAAAAAGCTTACCTATCATGCCTGTTTAAGAATATTTCACCATTTGCCTTCGGCGCTATCCACTTGAGAACGAGGTGCGCACTGTTACACAAAGCAGCTCACACAGTAGACACAAATCGTACGAATAGAATACGCAGGATGCGTTATATCTCAGTCCGCATATATGAGCGTATGCGTGTGTAATTTTTAGGTTCGTCTTAGTTTGGTCACACACACGCGCACACACACACACACCACACACACGCAGGCACGCACGCATGTACGCACGCACACATGCACGCACGCACGCACGCGCACACACACACACGCACGCACACGCGAACACACATACTCACACACGCACGCACGCACGCACACGCGCACACACACGCACACGGACACACGCACACGCACACAAACACACACACACACACGCGCGCGCGCGCACACACACACACACACACCTGCACACGAATATGAAGATTGAGAAATATAAATTACTCTGCTATATTCAACGGGAAATAATTCCGGAGATATTTATTGGATTTTCTCGTTTGACTCTTTGTCCTGACGAGCATAACACTTGAAAGGCGAAACTGACCCTGCGACACAGTCGCATTAAAACCACACTGATCTCCTATAGGCGGGGCTGCCGCAAAAGTAAGCAGTAATGTCTGATCTCCGTTAACTTTAACACAGGCACTATGTACGCATGATAGTGGAAGGAATAAACAAACAGTATCCCTTCCACTGTTTGTAACCTTCACATAATATTAGTGACGGAAGAGTCAAAACACGCAGAAACGCTCACGGCACCCTACAAATAGGAGCCGCCAGGGGTGGCCTTCTTTATTCTGACTAGAATTCCACGACACCGATATGGACGAAGATGAACATAGACCAAATATGCATTGGTGTCATAAACACTGGTATCCAGAGAAGCAATCAGCTGTCGTGTGAAAATAGTGATGAAGGGGGCTAACGGTAAAACAAAAAAAAACAGATGTGAAGATCAGTTATATGACTGCGTCCGTGTACAGCAGTCTGAAAACGTTCTATAGAACCTTTCAGGCAACATTTCATGGGCGCCGCCATCTTGACGTCACGTGACCCTGCCGCCATAGCCGCCCTTCAGTTTCTCGCCGTTCCTCCGCGTTGTGTGCTGCACCGGCAACTACTGGAGCTTTGTTTTCGCGTTCTTTTACGGTCCGCGTTGAAATCGTGTGTTTTTTTTTAGGTATTTTCGATATTTCGGGCTTTCATTTAATCATTTGATATCTATATTTCAACATAGCTCTTGTATTTTCTTTTTAATGAAATGGAATCGGACAGCGAATGGATCAACGATACAAGATTATGGCTCCAGAGACCATGTAAGTTCATCCGATTCTAACGTTTTTCTCGCTAATAAAGGGCAATCAACACCATTGCAACATATGCAAATTTCAACTGACGCAGTAAGGCAATCCACTCGTGCTTCTCGCTGCATGTGCGCGCTCGTTTCCGTAAAGCCGACCCGCATGTAAGCGATTTTGCGTGCGACGAGACGAGCGACGGCGACAACGACGAGAGTCAGCGACGAAGATTTCTCACTGTCGCCTCTTGCATCGCTCGGTTTTTTAAGTTTCTAGAAAACGTCGCTCACCGTTTTGGTCGCTTGCTCCCGTCGCTTCCATGCGGTTTGCCTCGTCGCGCGACTGCCCGAGCAACAGCGAAGCGGGTCTCCGTCGCTTGTCTCGTTGCTCGCCGAATCGCTCGCATGCGGTTTATACTTAATATCGAGGCGCCAATGGTTCAATGCTGTGTGCATGGAAATTAATTCAGTATAAACCGCATGTAAGCGATTTGGCGAGCGACCACACTCTAAGAAAAAATGGAGGAAAAAAGTAGCAACGGCGCGTCTTCCTCCCTTCTACTGACGCGACCCCAAGCGGTCACGAGAAACAGGGAGGAACGAAACGTTTTTCTCCATCTCCAGGCAGACGGGAGAAAGCTTTCGCCCTACCGACTCATCTTCTTTCGGTTTCGTTTTTCGAGCAGGTCGCGCACGTTGTTTAATAAATAGCTGTTGAGTTGATTGAGCTTCAGGGGCAGCAAAGGCCGCCTGTAATTCCGTCTTCTAGTCTAAACGTGCAGAACATTACGGTTGCATTAACGTTTTTATCACTAATTTAATCAAACGAGCAAGCGAAGCCGCTAGAAACAGCGAAGTTCCGGAGCAGTGCCAGCAGCACCCCGTACACTGAGGGATGGCCGTCTCCGGATTGCGGGACTGGCGCGGCACGGAACTATACAGTCACTACAGTAGCGAAACCACGCGGAACTGTGTCGACGTTTTCGACGTTATAGAAACCGCAGGAACTGCGTCCAAGACAGGCAGGTTTTGCTGCCGGCAGCCTGGGTGCCTTCCGTCCTGAGTTCGGTTCTGTATTCCGAAGCCGAGTGCAACCGGCGTTCAACGTGTTTCTGTACTTGTGCGTGTCAGAAACATAGCTGCAACATCGTGATGGCAGTGTTGTGGGTTGTGAACAGAAGACTGGAATTATCGCCGATGTGACCGTGTGTTCGCGTATCAGTGGTGTAACAACAAGATGAGATCGTAAACTGTCGGGCATTGATGCCGTTGGTCGGGCCGTGATCGGAGGAAGCTTGGTGTCGCAGGTTGACATTCCGCTTTACATTAAAAAGTTTAATACCACTTGAGGGATTACGTGCAATCGATCAACGTGCGGATAGTCATGTTAGAACGCTGGTCTGAACAGTAGAAGCTCCTATCGCTATCGTACAGTGGCCAACGTGACTGTCGGAATTGTCTCGTCCCCGAGAGCGATTGAGCTCTGGGGCAAGGACTGAACAGTACGAAATCGTGACGGAAAGTACGTATATTTACAGTATGGAATTTCGGCATTAAAAAACAATAGTAGGTAAAATCGAAAAAAAAGAAGCTACCCTTTATTTTTCTGTTTAAATATACTACGGTTCCTGGAGAAACTGCCCTACAAGTGGCGCGCTGGGATGAGCGCTAGAACTTTTCGGGCTCGCCACGGTGTAGCTCCGTACACTTAACACCTGCCGCAAGTCGCGGCTTTGACTGCATTCAAGTTGATCGAAAAGCGATTTCTCAGCCCGTGAAGCATCACTTCCAGCTGAGTGAATATCCGCTCTACAGAGATTAATTCAAGACGACAATCGCAGCTTTGCGCGAACAGCACAAATAGAAAAAGCAATAGAAATACAGGCTACGACGTGCCGTGTGGGGAAACAAACTCATGGCCTCGAGCCGCATTGGAGCGGCTTGATTTATTGGCTTTAAAATAATTACGGTATGATCGAGCATTTACTTTTTAATAAGAGATTAATCCCCTGAGCCATTCAAAATACTCTCAGATGTATGACATTGCTGGGAAAAAATCAACATGCTGGCAGTATTTTTTATTGCTTAGGGAGTCACCGAAAAGTTCCGTACGTTCAAAACGACCAGTATAAAAGACGGAAACGCAAAGCGCGGGTGTAGTGTTCGGCTGAGTGTGGTGTCCTGGTGTATTGATATTTGTGTGTGCCGTGTCTGCCCTCAATGTATGTTCACCTGATGTTAGTAATAAGCGTAATGTGTGTATAGTAGAGGATCCCAAGCACAGTAGTGGCCTGAGAAGAATTAAATATTTTTTTAGAACATGAATTGGGCGGTACCTAGCGCCACCTAGCCTAGCTACTTGCAATTACTCTGCTTGACCCCGCCATCTGGTGGCTAGCGAATTAACCTTTCACGCTACGCAATAAACAGCGGCTTCGAGTTTGTTCTTTCGAGAGCGGCTTTTGGTACCGCGGATTGAGTTTGCCCTTGTCCGTGATGTGCGGTTGACGAAGGAATTGTGACTCGAGGAACACCAAAGGTAAGACGCAAAGTGCGCGAAGTAACTGGGTATCGGTTGTCTCCGTTTAACATCGCAGTGCTGTCGACAAGAAGACTGAGTAACTGCTTTCGAAACGCAAGTTTCTGTATTTGTGGGGGGAATTTGGCTTCGGAAATAAACACAGTTTGCGGAAAGTTCGTGTTACGCTTTTATTTGCTGCTGCTCTCGTCTTGTACAAGAGACGTAGCGTCCTCGTCAAGCCTTATTGGGCTCTATTTGCTCGAATCGGGGCCGCCATATTGAGATGCAAGCGACGGAGGAACTTTGCTCCCCTGCTTAAGGGACGAAAGTTTCTCCCTTTCTAAAGGAACATAGGTTACAAGACCGTTCCTCCCCTAAGGGAGGACTATCCATACCCTTTTTTCTAAGAGTGCAGATAAGCGACGGCGACGGGCTTTGCTGTCGCTCAGTCAGTCGCGCGACGAGGCAAACCGCGACGGAGCAAGTGACCAAGACGGTGAGCGACGTTTTCTAGAAATCCCAAAACCGAGCGATGCGACGGGCGACGGTGAGAAATCTCCGTCGCTCGTCTCGTCGCACGCTAAATTGCATGCGGGTCGGGTTTACGGAAACGAGCGCGCACCTGCAGCGAGAAGCCCGACTGTGATAGACATACTGCGTGAGTTGCAATTTACATATGTCGCAATAGTGTTGACTGCCCTTTATTAGCGACAAAAACGTAAGAATGGGATGAACTTACACGGTCATTGAAGCCTCATAATCTTGTATCGTCGACCCATTCCCTGCCCAATTACATTCCATAAATAAGAAAATACAAGAGCTATGTCGAAATATAAATATCAAAGGATTAAATGAAAGTCCTAAATATCAAAAAGGCCTAAAGAAAATACAAGATGTCAACGCGGAACGTAAAGGAACACGAAAATGAAGCTCCGATAGTGGCCTGTGCAGCACACAACGCGGAACAACGGCGAGAAACTAAAGGTCGGCTATGGCGGCCCGGAAAGCGCGCGAAGGTCGCGCTGACTGGTGGCAGCTCGAGTAACTGACTCGCTGAAAGCGTCTATACATTTGTTTTCGTCCCTTCTATTGCAGGATCCAGGTTTCTAAAAGAAGATGAAGGGGCAGAGGAGTGCCTACCTGTTTCTTCTCACTTGCGTGGCACTCGCGGCTCTGGCTCACGCTGACGACGACGGGGAGGGTCCTGTCGTACACACGACGACTGGCTGTGTGAGGGGATTCCGTCAGCCGCAAAATGGAAAAACCGTGAATTCCTTCACTGGGATTCGGTATGGCAAGGCCCCTGTTGGGGCCCTTCGCTTCCGGGAGCCACAGCCTGCTGAACCGTGGACCGGTGTCGCGGACGCCACCAAACCGGCTCCAGCGTGCACCCAGGTCAACATCGATCCGTGGTCGATAGCTCAAGGTGAGGCTTAATGACTCTCCATATCCCCCCTCCCCCCGCCCCCTCTCTCGCATGCTTTGGTTTCCGCACCAACAAAAATCACCGCCCTTTGAATCCGTATGGTTCATTTGTGCGCCTTCGAATACTTATGTGCTGCGGGTGCCTCAAAAGGTATCCTGCAATTAGTAGTAACAAAGCAGTGCGATGCAGTTTCCAATTTGAAACATTACTCATGTCGCACTCTGTAACCGGGGGAATCGGAAAGCTATTTACCGAGATAAAGAACTTTTCAGCGGCATTTCATTTTTATTTAATTTCGTTTATTTGATTTTTAAGGGTCCTCTCTTGAGGTTATTACATGAATCGGCAATAAATAAATACTACAATTTAATAAAATAAATAATAAGAAATAGAACGTACCACTGTTTATAAACATAAATGTCAGAAAGAATAGAAGCGAGTGGTAGACAAATTACACCGAGTAAAAAACAATAAAATTGAGTAGTTAATATCCCCAGGGGCAGTAATTGAGAGAATCGACTCTGTGTGACTGTTCCAGTTCACCATCGAGAGCAGTAGGAAGGAATTTTTAAATGCGGAAGACGAGCCGGATATGAGCTGAAAATCGTAGGAGTTGTTAAGGTGACGAGACAACCGTGCACAATTATTCAGGAAATAAATTTTCACAGTAGGATGAGAGGTGATAAAAATTATGGAGTAAGCAAAGATTTCTGGCTTGCGGCGTGCTTCAAGAGTGGATAAGGTTAGGCTTGTTTTCAGTGCAGCGGAACTAGCCGTAAAATCATAATTAGAAAAAAAAAACAAAAAAAACAACAAAAAAAAAACGTAGCGGAATTATCGGTTTTGAACTGCTTCAAGCTGAGTATTAAAGTAATTTTGGTGGGGTTTCCAGATTGCAGCAACGTATTCTAATTGTCGAATTAAGGTAGTGTAAACCAGTTTTCTTTATTTTGTGGAGGGCTGCACTCAGTCAACGCCTAATGTAGCCAATTATTTTTCTTTCTTTTTTTTTTGCGTCGGAGGAAAAGATAATACTGTGGTTAAATCATATCGTATCGGAAGTTAGGATGACACTATGATATTTAAATTTATGAAATGCACTGGATGGGTGAAGGGACTCTTTAAAAATCGGACTAGTTTGCGCTTAGATTTATTTAGTGACATCAGCCGTTGATACATCATTGATAAATGCTAACGAGGTCTTTTTTGAAGGAGCGCCTGCCTATTTGGTGTAGTGATTCCGCGATACAGTACGTAAAAATCTGCAAAAATACGTATGTTTGAAGAAACTGAGTTTGGAAGGTCAATAACGAATGCTGAAAAGGGAATAGGACCAAGGACTGCGCCCTGAAGCACACTAGATGTGACGGAAATTAAATTAAAATCATGGTCTTTTAACTTTTAATACCGTGTACTGTATTCGCAACGCAAGAACACTGCGTATGAGCAATATATCTTCAGGATCTAGATGAAGACAACAAAGTTTGGGAATTAGACGAACATATGAAACGCAACCAAAACCTTCGAAAAGTCTAAGATAAATAAATATTGCATCATGTATTATTACGAGATTGAGGGGTACGATGACGACAATGTGGAAATTCGACAAATTGTTTTTCGCAGCAATTACCAATAGGTCCTCTCAAACTAGTACTTTGAGACCGGAAGAAACGCGAAGAAACTCATTGAGGAGCACACCCTTTGGCTCGCATAAAACCGGAGCAGAAGGGATAATTTAAACACAGCTTTCGATGGGCTCAAAAACTCCGGGATGGCACCAGCCAATATAAAATAACTTTAATTGACATTTTAAGCAGTGTTAAACACGCGTTCTCCTAAAAAAGCAGCAAACGTTCGTTTCTCGTTTCTTGTTTACGTTGAAAAAAATCCAGTTAAATGTTACAGTCCTGCGAAAAAGAAAACAAAAAAAAAAAAGAAAAACAGACACAAAAACACGTTTTTGTCACATCTCTGAGAATGAGAGGTGTTCATACCTGGAAGTTACATTTAGGTATTTTAATAACATGTTTTGTTGGATAATTCGTAATTTAAATGAAGTGAGTGAAAAAATGAACACAAAACTACATTATACGAATTATACCTGATGATTCGACACGATCACACTTGTTCCAGTTTTTTTATTCCACTATACACCCCGTCCAGTAAAATCATGATGACGGACGTTGGCCCATCCGCTAGTCCTAAATGCCTGACAAATTTGTATCAAATTTTAGATAAACACGCAAAAATGGACCTTGTTCCTCTTGCCGTTCTCTAGAAGACGTAACGAGTTCCCTTTCCAGTTCCACCAACGCCAGAAGAAACGGCGGCGTTTCTCCGTTCATCGCAAAAGGAACGGGTTCTTGAAATGTTGCTCCTCGAAACTCCGTTTCATATCACACTGATATTTAGCCAACTTACAAGTTTATACAGATATACATCTGTGCATTAGGTTTTCGATCGAAACGTGTCCAGTTTCCATAGAGCTCGCATAAACCACGTGACTCGATCATGAATATCTTTTTCAGACAGCCCTGTCCATACCGAAGACTGCCTGTTCCTGAACGTCTGGAGTCCGGCGAGTAGTAACAATGCTTCGGACCTGGCAGTTATGGTGTGGATCCATGGTGGCTCATCATCTTTCGGCTCGTCGTCTTTGAACATCTATGATGGTGCACTGCTGGCAGCTTTCGGTCATGTCGTGGTCGTTTCCATGAACTACAGGCTAGGATCCTTGGGATTCTTTTATGGAGGCACACAACATGCCCCCGGAAATCAGGGGTATCTTGACCAGGCGCTTGCTTTGCATTGGGTGAGGGACAACATAGCCGCTTTCGGCGGAGATCGAGAGAGAGTGACCCTTTTCGGTGAAAGCTCAGGTTCAATCTCCGTGGAGTTCCACCTTCTTTCGCCAATATCCAAAGCACTTTTTCAGCGGGCTGTCATGCAAAGTGGAGCTATGTGTCGTTATGCGTCGAGGGCCAGTGACCCCAGGCTACTCACGAAAGTACATAGGATGGCCATGTATCTCAATTGCACCAATACCTCGGAGCCCGACTGACGCCTCCACGAGAATTTGATCGAGTGCTTGCAGCAGGCAGATCCTGTGCATGTCAGAGTAGCAGAAAGATTGGTTTGTCCCAGTAACTTATGCTTCGGAACAGTCTTTGGGGTGCCCACCCTCCCTAGTGATCCTTGTGCAACAGAGTATCAAGGAAACAAAGACATATTGATAGGTCACGTAGTTAACGAAGGTGGAGGTCTCGTTTCCGGTTTCTTTCCGGGTGTGTTCCTTGCTGACTGGCCCAAAAACTTGACGAAAATTGAGACGTTTCTTTTGCTAGCGCCTTTGCTATCTCCTCCGAGTCCTCAACTTTTAGACGAGCTGCATGACCTTTACACACGTGATCTTGGAGACAGAGACTTTGAGAAGCTGAGACGAGCGGTTCAGGATGCTTGGGGCAACAAGATCATAACGTGTTCGTCAAAAGAAACTTCAATGAGGTTGGCAAGTAATAGAGATTACTCAGTCTTCTATTACATATTAAACTACACATCTTCGAGTTCGCCCAAGAAACCCTGGTATGGGATGACACACGTTGACGATGTCCTGTATATCTTCGGAAGGCCAGTTGTGGAGAAGGCGTCTTCCGATGACCAGACTTACAGCAGGAAATTGATGGAATTGTGGACTTCATTTGCTAAGCATGGGTAAGTGAACGTTTTTTTTTTGTATTAATATTTTTGTTTCCACACATTCTGTGCCCCGCTCCTTCCGAAAGCCGCAGGGAGGGTAACGTAAATTCTGCGCTTTCCCTTTCCTCTGCAGGGAAACCAACAGGGACTTTCTTGGATAACTTCTTTGTGTTCGTAGCATAACGCAAAAGGTGGAAACAAACAAAAATCAATAGAAAACGACCAGGAAAAAATAAAATTAACACAAATCAGAGGTATGGTGTGACGACGTCATAGTCCGGCATTTGTGATCTGCATTCCCTTTACATTACTAAACCATTTTTTATTTGCTTTCGCTTTTTTTTTCAATTTCTTGGTGTTTGCTCTCATTTTATGAATCCAATACATGATTACAAATGTGGTATAGTTGTCTAAATTCCAAGGTTTTCAGTATGATGAACTTTGGAAAACCTAACGTTAGTTAGGACAAACCAGGCGTTACTAAAAAAAAAAAAAAAAAACTACGTTACTTGTTACTTGAAAATAAAAAGAATGCGTTACCGTTCTACGTTACCTCAAAATAAGATGAACGCGTTACCGTTACCGATAAAAAGTGAGGGACGTTACTTTTGCTCACTTTTTTAAATTTTGAATGATCGTGTATTTATGTCTTTGACTTTACAGGTATGCATAAACGCCATTTTTCAAGAAACATTATGTTCATGCAGACAGTGAACATAATTACTTTATATCTTTTTGCGGTTTCACCTAAATACTCACTAAAAACACAAATAAAACGCAAAAAAAAAACAAAAAAAATATCAAGTAATTTTTAGTTTAAAGCTTGACTAAAAAATTCAGTGTAGTATCTTTTTAAATTGTGGAAAGAGGGCTTAACGAGTAACCGAACTCGGTTGACCACTACTCGAAATAAGTAACGCAAGTACGTTGCCCGTTACTGTTTTCAAAAAATAACGAGTACGTTAAACGTTACGCAAAAAAGTAACGCGTTTCCGGTAACGCCATTACTTGTAACCCGTTACCGCCATCATTGTGCTCAACTAAAGGGTCTAGTAGTGCTCCGAGGCTTATGGAATTGAGGAAGATATAAAATATTTTCCCTTGGGTGTCTAAATATTCGTCGCAAGCTAGGAACACCTTTTCTCCTGGTTCTTCGGCACGCGATTGATGTTATCAAGAGTCACGATATGAATTATCCGGACGTAGATCCGTGTCTTGCTGCATGTTCCATAGTAGGCCACGTGCGACACGTGCACAATGTTCTGTACTTGCTTCAAACTACGAGAGCATATTTTACTAAAGCATATATACAACATTTATTGGGTATCAGCACATTTTCTCTCCTCAGCAGCATGACTTTAGGAGCGGCCTCTCGACAGTCACTCAGCTTTTTGAAACTTTGCACCACGGGACTCGGTAGTAACAACCTGAAGAAAGGTGACTTATTACTAATCGAGCATTCAAAATATTCCGACCGCGTCTCACACAGCAAATTAATTACAAAACTAAAACAAAAACATGTCACATGCGAGGGACCCATCGTCAGCTGGATAAAAACTATTTGTCAAATCGTTTTCAACTCCTCCAACATAAGAAAGGGGTATCAGAGACCGTCAGAGTTATTTCCGGCGTCCCAGATGGCTCCGCCCTGGCCCCAGTTCTCTTCCCTCTCATCAAAAATGACATAACTAACAACATTCCTGTTAATATTCGTCTATTTGCTAATGACTGTAATATATACCGGGAAATAATCTCCTTTGACGACCCTACAGCTCTGAATAATGAATTTAATGATCAATAACTGGTGCTCCGACTGGCAGATGACTCTTAAAACGTTAAAAAAATCTCTTTGTATGTCTGTAACAATAAAGAAAAAGACTAATTCTAAACTTCCGTACGGCCTCAATGAACTAGCACTTTCACGTGTAATTCAGTGTAGACATTTGGGTCTAATACAGGGTGAAACATGAAGACGCCAGGCTCTTTAAATCGACCGGAAAATTCGGTTTCTTAACCTATCGCGCTACGACTTTGTGCAGCGTTGCCCACAGACGGTGCATTTATTTTGTAAAATTTGCAAAGAGCGAACTTACCTGAGGAAAAAGTAAAGGAAGGAAAAGGCTTAGCTCCTATTGAAACGCAGCGACGCCACCGGTCTGCAAACAACACGCTGCCGTCTCGCACTGGAGACAAGAGATAGCGCAAGCGGTCGCGACGCCAACTGCCGCCAACGAACGAGCAGACGACGCCGAGAGCCGGCCCTTTTGTAGACTAGGAACTGCAGTTCCTTGCTGTTACCGCGCCTGTCTTTTTCCTTTCTGCGACTGTCGCCGCTTGCAGAACGCGCGCCGCTTTTGAGTCGAAAAGGTTGTCTGCTAAAGACGCTGGCACTCGGCGCCGTATGCTAGTTCGTTGGCGGCGTTTGTTGCGCCATCTCTTGTCTCCCGTGCGAAACGGCGCCGTGTTGTTTGCAGACCAGTGCAGACCGGTGACGCGGCTGCGTTTCTATATGAGCTAAGCCTTTCTCTATCTTTACTTTTTCCTCGGGTAAGTTCGCTATTTGCAAGTTTTACCAAAAAAAAAAAAAAAAGCATCATCTGTGGGCAATGCTGTACAAAGTCGTAGCGCGATAGGTTAAGAAACCGAATTTTCCGGTCGGTTTAAAGAGCATGGCGCCTCCTTGTTTCACCATGTAATCACCTCCGTCTTACGTTGGAATTGTCATGTCGTCTATGTAAAAACACAAGCCTTCAGAAATCTCCTTCCCTTGAAAAGACCACTGGAAAAAAATTTTCACTTTTTGTTAGGCTGTTTTACTTTTTGATAAATATTTTGCTATAGGGTCTCGTGTACTTTTAATAAAGCCAAGAAACGCAACTATTCGAAACCGAAACCTGTGCACAGAGGTCGAAATACGTGGAGGAGGTAGGAGACTGTGCCGGAAGTCACGTGGCTACACCCGACCGCGTTTTTCCTCCTCCGTTTTTATTTATTTATTATTATTATTTTTTTTTTTTGCAGCAGCAGCAGCACACGACGCGGGTACCGTTTGCCGTGCAATTGCTTTACGGTTATGTTTGTTCCGCTTGCTGTTCTGCACTTCAAGATGATTTCTTTTGTACATTGAAGAGTTGAAAATGAGTAGTCAGTGCCCGGCGGTGAATACCCCTCATCGGCTCCAAAAAGAATGCTCCCCAAGACGTTGCGTGAACAGCCGCCTCACAGATTCTACATCCGAAAGTGGCATTGTGCGGCAGAGTCTGTACAAGTTTCCGAAAGTTCAAGGGGCCAATGGCTGGCTGCAAATCCTGCGGAACAATTACGGGCACCGCGGAAAGCGGACGCTACCCGATTTATATGCTCCTTGCATTTTGTGCACAGTGACTACATTGAGTTCGTAAGTGTAAAAAAGGGGGTCCCATGCCATTTAATACAGCAACGTTTCGTCCACAACACTTTTCTTTCAGTGATAATTGTAAAAAATGAATGTGTAAATATATCAAAATGTTTCACACACACACACACACACACAAAGAAATAGTTCGCCCACTCTCGGGATTGAACCTGGGTCCCCTGTGCGTAAAGTGGACACCGTTCCACTGAGCTACACTACAACTTTAAAACAGTCGGTTTTCCTAACAACATAGACTTGTAAATGTCCTTGGCCATAGGCAGCTTCCTATCGTGGAGCTCGAAGTACGATAGTTGAACACGGTAATGTTCAGGCAGACGAAGGTGAACTGCTCGTTCGTAATAATGCAGCTGGTCTACCGTTCCTAAAGGTCGGAAAGTTTGCTGCCAATGTTTCTGCAGCAAAGACACTCCCAAGGCTCGAAGTCGGGCATCACCAAGGATTGGCCACCTATACGCACCTAGTAAAGGAATCGCACGCATGCATATTCAACTCGAAGTACGCATTTCGTGCTTAACGTTTGCGCGTTTTTTAAGCTCTTACCCATTCGTGTTCCTAAGATGAGCGATGTCTTCAGCCTTTAGAAGGGGCGACGACTCGGCGACGTCTTCGTGAAAATCGGCTTGGTGGTCGGGCGTGTCGTACGGAAAGAATCCTAATCGTTTTAAACGGTTCAGATTTTCTTATTCGAAGGAAGACAGATTCGCCAGTACCGCTAACGACAGTTCTGAAGTAGAGGTCCCATTTCCGTCGTCCGCCGTCCAAGCCGTCCAGCCCGCTAGTTGCACAATACGCGATACGACGCCCTTGCTGAGAATTACGCAGTGAAGGCACCGAATGCTTTAGTTGTCTGTGCAACTTTTTTTTTTCAATCAACGTATTTGCAGATTTTTAGGAGCCCCCAAAAATGGGTTCCATTTTTTTTTTAATAATGAGTGTGCGCCTTCAATGACCCATCTCTTTCATTACACTTGGTGGTTGTGTCTAAACCTTAGAAAACTGCCCATGACCACGCAGAAGAGGGTGAGCGCGACTCAAATGGGCCAGTTCTCGATCGGCGGTTTTCGGACGAAAAGAAACCGAATTTCAAGCCGCGAATTCGGTTCTGGGTTGTGAGGCTCCCATATATCATGTACAACTAAAAACCTCGCCGAGCATAAATACCCTGGCAGAGTTCCTTTAATAGCCACGACAGCCCCACAACTCCTGGCTTACACAAGTCTAGTTTGCCCCATACTAGTAGACGTTATTACTGTTCGGTTTCATCACACAAAACTAACATATCTGAACTAAATGATATACGATGTATGTCAATTGGATTTATGTAAAATAAGTATATGCGCACGGACTCACAACCTAAACTTTATGAAAGCAGGTCTTTTAACCTCAGCTAGCAAAGCTAAACAGCTTATGCTGAAATTCTTGTTCTGTTTTCTTAAAAATACCTTTAAAATTGAGAAATCCAAGTATGTTTCGTTTTCTAATACTAGAGCAACCAGGCATAAGCACAGTACTACCTTTTCTGAATATTCCTTTAAAAACTACTGTTTTGGTACTATTTTCACCTAAGTCATCAAGGTATGGAACAAACCAGTGCCACAATAACCCGATCTTAGCACATCTATACGCTTTGTCAGGTAAGAATGAGGGATGTAAGATTACCTAGTTTTTTTTTTTGTTTTTCATTGTATAACAAGGGCTCACCTGCTTTGCTTTTTATTGTATCTCTGCAATAGATATAAATTCTGATTTTGTTCATTTTTAGACACTGTACGTTACATTTATGTGTATGTTTTGACCTTGAAGTGACAACTATGATGCATGCAATTTTCTCGAGTTTTGTGTCCTTTCCTGCTATGTCCCTCTTGAGACTGGCAGTATTTTCAAATAATAAATAAATAAATAAATTGAACAGTTCAAATCTTAAGAGACATGTACCGCATGACATCTGATTATATTTGAGCTACTCTCGTGGATTTAGTCTAAGTGTAGCTCTGAAATGCCTTTGTTTCTGCAGAAAACAACATCTCGTGGAAGCGTACCACTGGCCCCAGCTTATGCCTGGTAACTTTGCTGCCTTGAAGATCACCAACAGACCGCCAGAGCAAGCAACGCTCAACTTGGGAGATCGATGCCGTTTCTGGAGTCGGTTGCATCTGCATCACAACCAGTCTGAGCTCTCGTAAATTTCGCGAGAGATGTCGGTCGGCTCAAAAACGAGGCTGATTTGTACGCGAATAGAATAAAGTTTCTGATATCCTTGGCAATGTACGAAGACAATGTGGCGTCCTTAGCTCGCAAGTTTGTTCTTCTGAGAACGTCCAAAGATAAAGCTAGCAGACTACCGACATCTGCGACGAGAGGGTCAGCAAAGTAAACTATACCCGTTTTCACCTTAAGAAAAAAGCAAGTCTTGCGCATTGTTCATACGCGGCGCGAAATAGTTCTTACGAGATTTGGTTGTTGGAGGAAAAAGCGACGCTTTTGGCGTTGGAAACGTGTACGTCTGAATAAGATAACATATATATATTCTAACATTCACCTGCATGTCTCTTAATTATCCGCATAAAAGGGAAATTTAGTAATGGTCCGCGTGGCGCCGGACTTTTTTTTACTATGGTTCCTGAGGTGAAAACGGGTATAGCTTCATTGCGTGCATTACGTATATAACACATACATATATTTATAAGGTTTGTATGCTCACCAGTTGCAATTCCAGGCTATAAAAATTAAGGTGTCTTTTAAATTATCTTATTCAGCTCCTGTAAGCTTCCTGAAGTAGTGATTTAATGGGAGATATATTTCACGGATATAAGGTTGTTACATGAGCAGGTGATGCAGGTTTCATGAGTATTTGATGTAACACTGGTTTCGATTGGCCCCTTGCAAGCGCCTACAAGTTCTTTTGGGGTACTTAGCGTGTGTAAACAAAAGGACCAGACAAAAAAAATAAAGCGTTCGCCTTATGAAATACTCTACACGGGGCGATTGTTTAAATAAATGCCTTTGTGCGTTGTACTTTTTTTTAATTGGAGTTTGGTCGTATGGGTAGAAGTTGCATTGTTTTCGTAGACTTTATTTTGAAGAAAAAAATAATCAACTGACGAAAACTCATTAAATTTTGTTCTCGCGCCCATTTAAAGAGATTCCTACTATGGTGGTAATATAGGAATGCAAAGTAAACCCATTCGAAAACTCAAACAAATGAAAGCCCTATAGTGGCAGTTTTTTTTTCAATTGGAAGTTTAACATCCAAACACGGAAAAAAAATCAACACGGGTATTTCATTTGCAGCCTGGTTAAAATGCGACAAAGCATCGATGCTGCAACGTTATAATTGATATACTTCAAAATATTTCATAAACACGTTCATTACTTTAAAAATCTTCGAAAATCAAATACTGAAACTGCTACAGTAATACCATAAGCCCGAGTGATGACAATGTTAGCCAATATAAAATTTAATGCTCATCAAAATCATTTCTTTAAAACCAAACGCGGATAATGGCATTTGGCTTATCACGTGTTTTAACGTAATGCAACCTCTTAACGTATGTCGTGTTTTTAAATATTGCACCATATCTTATGAACTTGTAGAATACCGATTCCCCCAAGCCGCCCCGTTGCCTCCGAAGCAAATTCTGGTCAACAGATGAACTGTTAGCGGACTCGAACCCCGGCCAATGTGTCCGAAATCTGACTGAGGAGGATTTCGAAGAAGGCGTTTTGCTGCCGATATTTTGATTGGATGTCAAAAACATCCTGAGGTGATTGAAATTAATCCTCAGTCTTATGCCGGGGCGTGCGGGAGGCCTTGCGTCGGTTCGGTGGTCTGACATGTAAGCCCCTCAAATCTTGTTTAAACTTTCTGTGAAGTGTATAGTCCAAATCAGGAAGGTTTACCCGAACATTTCTTTTGAAAAACATCGGTCATTTCACCATCCAAATATGCACATAAGGAACGAATGATACTTTATACCAGAAAGAAGATATGAAATTCCTTAAACTAAGCAGAGAAGAAAAAAATACTCAAAACGTTTTACCCGATGTGTGAGTAAATTTTATTTCGGCGGCGCATGAGCGCATAAACATACGTAATTCTCGCAATTTTTAGGCCTGCTATGAATTGAGATGCGTTATGCTCTGTTTTTATGTTCTATTAATTAAACAACATAATTCATAAAAATAGTCTTTCTTATTTTTTTTAGGGGGTACATTTGATGTAAAGATTATACGAATGATCTAGACTATGTGAATAATGAAGAAACAAATGGAACGACAAGTAAGTAAAAAAACAATATAGTTTCTTTATTTCTTGTTCTTGCAAGAAACAATATCGCTTCCAGCTTACAATAACCCCTGATGAAAATATCGTATTGTTTTAACGTCTTATAATTACGCGAAAACGTCTTTAGGAACTGATTTATAGCCGAGTTCTTCGATTGCTGAGAGATGTTCTTGGGATAAGCGTTTATTGTAGATACGATTCACGGTAAAGCAGTTGTTTACGCATTAAAATGATATCAATATTGTATAGATAATAATTTCTATGGACACGGCTCTACTCTCGGAAGTTGGTGAAAATAATATAACGTGAAGATCCAAACAGAGGTGCACAAATACCGTCTTAACCCGTCGTATATTTAAGCGCTAAGTTGAGAGCGGTCTCCTTCGCTTCGTTGCTTGGCACTTTAAGGTTGAAAAATCAATATAAAAATAGATGATTTGAAATTAAAAAAAAAAACATAAAAAGCACAGCTACTCTGGTTTTTAGGAACTTTTTCACCTACTGCAGTTATTTATGACGATGATAAATTTTACAATATCTCAAAGGGAAAATCCTAATTAGAGGCACACACCTGTAGCACTATTTTATAGCTTAAATATTTATAGCCGAAACATACATAAAGTAACGATGAGACGGAACGCTTATCGTACAAAGTGGTACATTTTAATGTGGATTACTAAATTGCAAATCGAACTACGCACATAATGTTCGTAGCTGGACAGACATTTTTTTAACTTCATCAAACAGAATCTTGATAAGGGTTTCTGATTGTAATACAAATAGAGAGCGCCTCATAACCTATATCGGTCTAGGGCCAAGCTACTGAAACTGGAGAGAAACGCCTAGTTTGCGACTTTCGTAACAGTTGCTGTGCTTCACAAAAAAAAAAAAAGAAGAAAAAAACGCACGTGATAAGGTTGTCGTTTATACGACACCGCGTAGACATCAGACGAAAACGGCAGAGGCCATGTTGGGCCGAGTTAATGACCGATTCGAGATAGAAACCCTGGAAGCGCGATATCGAGCTGCTAGAAAAAATAGCCCATGCACAGAGTTCTGCCGACGTCCAGTGTGAACGGATGTAGAATCGAGGAAGCTCGTTGCTAAGTCATTACAGACTCGTCAGTGTCATAAACCAGAGTACAGTTTTCAACGTCCAATCGTTCCAGCGATCGACAAAGAATAGACCGGTGAGGAACCACTTTTAAATTGTAACTAATGCCAAGGGCTGGTTGTTCTGGTTCGGTGGTCAAGTGTTGTGGTTAAGGGCAACTCCATTCAAGTATTAAGTTTTTCGGTTTTACAACTACGAAAGTTCTCTTTCGAGCTGGCGGCAAGTGTGGCGTTTCCTGTTTGAAGGCGACCATAAGGTGTCATTGTTCAAGTTTATGCGGTTTAGGAGCCCAGCCTATCGCATTGTACCGCTGTTAGTTAATGAATGCGCGTAGACTCGGATATCTGGTAACAGGACCTGTTTTCTCGGGCAAAAGCCGCGGTTTTTTTGGCTAAGTAGGATCTTCCAGGAAAAGTATAAAACTAGCAAAACACATGGTCACGCCATGAACATAACGCAGTATTGTACTACAATATTGAAAAACAGCGTGACTGGGACGGGGACAAAAAGACGAAGAGAACAGAAACCAAACGCGGTCTTATGTTCTCTTCGTCTTTTTGTGTCGTCCCAGTCGCGCTGTTTTTCAACAGGAACTCTCACCAACTTGCTCAGTTATCTATCCTTAACAAGACAATACAATGCAAATTTTATTTCAATTTGTAACATATTACAATCGGTGCTCACATAAGTCCATTAGGCTTGTGCGTGTGACGCGGCAGCTACATACTCAGTAAACACAGTCACGTTAAAAATGAAATTGGTGCCTCGCATTTTAGAATAGTTTCATTTTAATAGTACACATGTTCAACTCTCTTTTAAAAATTTAAAATAAAAACATGATGTTTGTTGGTGATATCAAGGGTAGTTTTAATATTTATTCACAATCTGGGTTGAATCAAATTTTAACTAAATTACCATAAAAATATTTCTAATGATAGAGATGGTCGGAGGAGTGATCCACTTCTTGAATCCTAATTTTCTTTATAAGAGACTGGTTACATTTATTTCTTTTCATTGATCCATCTTTAGCTAGCTTTCAAACTCTGCGCGGGTTTTAGTATTCAGTTATGTATCGTCAGGTGATTCGGTAAAAAGTTTAGGCTCGTAGACGTTTCCTGTTGCATCTCCATATTTCGTTTTGATTTGTGGTTTTACATAGAAGGAATGGCACGCCAGCCGCACGCCAGAACAAAAACGAAGACCGCAAGTGGGGAAGCCCTTTCTGGGGATATAACTCTTGGTTCTACACTGTATAGTTCCAAAAGTACCTGGTTTAAATTCGTTTAGAAAATTAGCGGTAAAACGATATCTACAGGCTCGGGAGCAGTGGTCAACTGATGATGTGCTGAGCCGATGCCCGCCTGCCATGTGCCATTGATGGCTGTGTCAGCAAAGTCACGGCCACTCAGCATCTCTAAATATTTAAAATAAAACGCCCGTGGTGAAGCGGCAAATAATTTAAGTGTTTCGCTGGTTTTATTTCCCATGTCTCAAATAATAAAATTTTTTAACGTTATAGCGTTTAGGAGCTCGTGTGGCAGAAAATTCGGCGTCGGCGTCGGTGGGACCAGAAAATCCCGCTATGCACCTGGTGACGTCAACGTGACGTCTTACGTGACGTCACGTGTGACGTCAGTAGGGTTAAATTTCCTCGTTAAATTTGGCGGGAAAATTTTCCGCTCAATTTTGCGGAAACATTTTTGGCTAAATTTGTGGGAAAGACTTTCTGCTAATTTTAGCGGGTCGATAGGGTCATGACGTCACAGCCACGTGCAACGTCACGTGCGAAGCCACGCCACAAGACCTCGCTCGGGAATTTGAAACAACCCACAACGTTCACGTGTGACGTCAAGTGACATGTGACACTACTGAGTAGACGACGCGCATGCGCTTGCGCGCCTCGGGAAACGAGCGCGGGTTTATATTAAAAAGCTTTGCGAAAAGGTCCCGATAACGCTATCGCGTTCAACTCTTAA